TCTCCCTTCTATGATTATCGTTTAATATCACCTAATTTAGCCACCCAAGAAGAACCAGCGTACGAGTGTGTGAGAGGTGGGCGTTAAAAAAGGTAGTTATGGCATTTGCCGATCCTGCCAACGGTTGGGGGTAGTAGGTAGGTTGTTGGGGTCCGATGCTTACGCGTGTGGTCCCACACCTTCAAAGGAGACTGCGAGGTGTGTGTGTGTGCGCGTGTGTGTGGGAGGTGCTGGGAAAACCACGTGAGACCGCATGAAAACCCGCACTTTCTCCGCACAAATAGTCCCACAGGTTTACCTGAACATGTGGAAGACACTTCAAGACTTCCCAAATATTTGCTATTTTGTCTCACGTGCGAACTGCTCGAGTTTACTCTTATTGAAACAGCTGGCAATTGTGGGTGGTGAAGGGAAATATGTAAAAAGGTCGAATATTTCCCGAAAATTTCAGATATATTAGCAGAAAGTGAGAAAAATCGAAGATCTTCTGCAGCTATCGTGAAGTTCGACAATTTTCAAATCTTACAGCAACTGAATTGTATATGTCCCTGAAGAGGTAGAGTTTGTTCGATCAATTCAAATGTCCACAAGTCGTCAAGACAATTGGATTCCGATCGCAATTAGCCGTTTAAATAATTTGTGGATAAAAGCCAAATAAACCCTAAGCAAATGTATTGCCTTCTGGCCTTTTCGATAATGTTAACAAAATCCATAAAAATATATATTTTTTTCTAGATTTCTCGCTTTATGAAGGATTATCGGGATTCGACAGAAATCTCCCAATTTAGTGCAAAACGCACTTATAAAGGACAAATGAGGTGTCTAATGAAGGTAACACATTAGTTAGGTGGTTAGACTGGCCAATTTACAAGTATTACACGAAACAATCACGATTGGTTGTTTGACCCCATTACTGAGTGAATGAAGGGCTCCGATGCCGCGGTGATAAAGAGTTTCAAATGCTTTATCTGAAAACCTCTTTGTCCGATTAAAATTTCGTAGATTATTAGTCTATTCCAACTCATAACAAAGGCCTCTTAAAAATTTAAAATAATCCTTAAACTGAGCGTGAAATCGTGCCTTTAATAAAGTAGATCCAAACGAATTTCACATCGTTGAAGAGCCTGGTGTTGCGGCCATGCAAGAGGAGTCTCAATCAATGCAATTCAGAGAAGAACGATCGAAAATGCCCAATCTTGATTAAATAAAACGTTAAGTACTTTCATTTTTCGCCTAAAATCGATTTTCAAATACTAACTTAATGCAATTCAACAGACGAAAGTTTAACAGACTTCATTTCATAAATCAAAGAATTCCCTTTTTCAGGTTGATGTGATGGGAAATAAACCAGCAGCTTTCCGGGTAGGCATTAGAATGAACTAGGATGCATTTGTGTTAAACATGCCCGCACACTGCTCCCATTTCAAGAACTTTCGGTCTGAATGTGTAAGCCTTAAATTGGGTATCTGCGTTACCTCAAAGGATGAGATGATGGTAGGGAAATAGAAGAAAAAGAATAATTTCGAACTGTGACAATTTCGGTGGCAATAAACCTTGGCAGAATTCAAACCCATGCTCTTTAAATTTCATATCAGGCGTAGTTACCGACTAATTCCTATCAAGACATGGGCGACGATAGTCTTTAAGACATGGAAGGCCCACTCGTAACTAGAATTAATGAAAGATGGCTGATAAAAGGAATTCGAAGCACCTCAGATCAAGTGACAGATTTTGGATTCTCTGTAGAACCATATCATTGATTATCAATTTGGTTAATACTGCTCGAAAGAGGGAGGCTGCGAATTTCTCCACCATATGTTCTAGAGTACCTTTTCCTTCATTTCGTTGACAATGAAATGTGACAATTTTTCTCCCAATATTCATAAATTAAAACGCCTTAAACATTAAGCAGCAAAAAATATGACCACTTAGATTCAAAATTTCATCCCCATCAGCAAAATGCTAACTGGAATGCGCCCCCCCCCTTTCCATCACGTGGGTGGTCTGGAATCTTGTGAAGCGGATTAAAAAGGTGCTGGCATCCAAAAGTACAGACTTCTTGCTCCACCTTTGTTTTGGGACCCCACACGTTATCGTGAGTCAGACAAGTACGTGACGGCTAGTCTAGAGGGAGAATTGATGAAATTCCATGGTTAAAGAAAAAAATTAATTCGATCATTTCGAAAGTAACTCACTGAAATCATGGCAACTGGATTTCGCTTTACTAAAACCCTAATGCTTTTTCCTGGTGCAAATTGGTTCTGCTGTCCTCAACCCATCAGTATCCTTCAAGGTGCGCTAAATAGCTTATTCGTACATGTGGACATTTCATCAAGTTTGACCCACCCTCGAGCCTTAGCAACATCTTCGCCTCAACTGTTTTCAGGAGAGCAATTAGATGTTCCATCTGAGTTAATCGCAATCCCCACTTAAGTGCAACTGTTAGCTTAACTTATGAGCAAAAAGTCCTCATGTGCCGGCATATTGAGGAAAGCACTCTTCGCAACTATATATAATGTTTGCTTCCGAAGGCTAAATTAGCGGGAACCTAATTTTCTCCACCTCGTCAAATAGACTTAAGTTTGAAATAATGAATTTGCATACGCGTACGGCAGCACAAAGTACGAATAGGAGGGAAAATTAGATGGCGATTTTATTATATCCACGATTATTATCTACTTAACCTAGTTGAAAACAACCTTCGCTCCATTTGCGACACGACACAAACCTCAACATTCATCCACACCCTATTTGTTATCTTTATCCTAGTAGTTTCGCAACTGCTCAGTTTCAAACTTTTATAAATAATTACTGTGCCATGCCACAGCAATGGTAGGGAGAATTAGTTCTGCTGCCACGAGATATCTGCCCACTCGATATCACTGGAGAATACGATTGACTCAAATCAGAAAGGGGAGTTTAAGATTGAATGCACCTAACCCACGATATTTAACTAACCACACCCAAAGGCTGAGTCTTACTCATAAGGGTGGGATCAGACCACTATCGAACTGATGCCACTTTTGTCCCAAATAAGTATCAAGTTGTCAGGAAGGGCGACTTTAAGATAAACTGTGGGAATTAGTTACCCGAGGTAAAACATAAATACGGTGCTTATGGCATTTATTCACCCAGACTCATATTAGTTAGACACACTTCAACCTTATCTTTGCTTTCAATTACTCATATATTTTGGCCAACCCTTAAGGAACTACCATTTCTCCACATCTTAAAATAAAGGTTGAAAAGGATGTGCATTTTGTCTGAAGTAGAACCATTAGTTTGCAAGTTTCAAAGCCATCGACAAAAGCGAAGAGGTAGAAGAAGAAAGAATGCAAGTAGGTACTCATTTAGTCTCCACCACGACTAGCAAGATAGGCTTCATGGCGTTTCGCCTGAGTATCGTATATCTTTTGCAATTTCTTCAGTTGGCTCTTGGTTATCTCCTTTCCCTCAGCGTCATGGGTTGGCATACCCTGGGGGGCACAAGAGGAGAATTATCTTACAAATATGTCTATATGGTCAATTTATCTGATTTTTTAAATTGGTAGTTGAATTTATTGCAAGTAAGAACAAATGGGGAAAAACTTACAGGAAAGCGCGCTTGAATGTTACCTTAGGCTCCCTCAACTTTTAGGTTAATCAGGAGAAGATGAAGGAGAATTCAGAAAATAGCAGCTTTAATCATGAGAGTGGTGTGGCATAGGAAAACAAATCTAGGCACATTCGGTGTAAAAAAGCCTTTCGGTAATTGTTTCATCGGAACTGATTAATGAAACGAGGGGGTTCGATAAAGCATAAGAGAATCGTCACTCCAATTTAACCGAGCACTCTCGATTTCCTCATTACAGAAAGCTATTAGAGCCAAATAGACCCCAACCACAATTAACTATGTTGAAGTCCTGGATGCCCCAACTTCACATTCCTCAACTCAAACGGTACCTCTGTCGGAATTGCTTCTCTACCTCTGCTTATAGCCAAAAAAGCCTTTTATGGCAGAATAAAACGTTTAGTTTGCGCAAGAGAAATTACATTACATCAACAAGCAACCGTGGAATCCGGGTTGAGGATAAACGTGTATTGCCACTGAGTGTACATACCCTCTCCCTGTGTGAAACATTGTTCCCACTCAGTAGCAGCAGCGACACAGTAACAACACACAAAAACTGCGTACATAAGGTGAGGAGACACACACACACTCGGGTAAAAAAATATAATGTGGAAATCAATGAATCACAACATTGCCCTGTCCACCTAATTTAAAGCTCCCCTTGAGATGAAGATGGTTCAAATTTAATGAAATATTACAAACAGAGATGAGTGCAGAAAGTAATGTAATTGGATGCCCGGAATACTAAGTCCGTTTACGTAACGAGACCTAGCCTTAATTACACTAACCATTCCACTTATAAGAAGAGAGGTGAGAGTGAAGACAAAAGCGATCAATGCTGTGGAATCTGGTCTCGTTATATGAATAAGCTGGGAGAGTGATACTGAAATTTTGGGAAAAAAAACACAAACTAATCACCACGGAGGTATCTTCAATTCCATTGTTGATGCAAACTAGAACATTGAGGACTCACTTTGAGGTTTCGCAAAGTTAATAAATTCGAATAAACAGCTGAAGATTATGAGAACTGCCAAAAATGATCTTTGTTTTCCAAAACTCGTCTTGGGTAAGAAGCAGTTTCCCCAAGTCTATTTGATAGGAAATCTGCAATCCACTACCTCTTCAATCACGAACATTTGATCATAATCAATACCAATTCAGTGTACTCTGACTTCCGCATCGGCAGACACGCCACTGATGCGTAAAAAGCTTAACCACATTGGGTGAGTGTTCTGGAGAAGTTCAAAACGAAGACCAACAGCAAGACTTAAAGAAAGTTTGTAGAAGTTCAAGTATGCATTCCTAGCTAATACAGAACTCATAAGCGTTAAGAAAATGGAGAAATTCAAGATTAATAATGGGCCGCAGCGAAATCCACAGGCTTCAAACATTATTTTAAATGAACTTGAAAAAGGACCCCAAAACGCACCTTTTCATCAAAAGCTGAGTATTTATCCGTCTGGGAGCGGAATATTTCAGAAGGCGGCAGCTTTCCAGCCTCCTCTTTCTCTTTAGCCTGTTTTGCCTTGGCTGCCTCTTTCTCTGCCTCCGCCTAAATCAGAGAAAGAAAAGTACTCCATTAAAATAATAGCGCGCTACTGACCTATTATAAGTAGATTAAAATATTTACAGCCGCCTTTTCACGCCTCTCTGCAGCAAGGAGCTTGGCATCATAGAGACCAATAGCAGGACAATCAATTCGATCTTGAAGACGAATGCCATGGGCTGGGAGATGGTCGTCTCTAAGGCGGTCACAAGCAGAGAGAAGTTGACCCTTCAGAGAACCCTTGCCCAAGGACTGTGCATGAAGGCGAATGCGTTGACGTAGGTCTGCGATTGAGTATAGCATTCGGGCAACTAAAGGCCAGGCCTCCTTTTCCAAACACTTGATTTCCTTATTCTTAGTAGCGTGTTTCAATACAGTGTCGAAAAGAGCTAAATTGAGAGGGTGAGAGAGGACGTGTTAATTTAATTAGGAGAATAGGAGTATCGGTTCCACATTGTAATTAGGACTAATAGATTCAATTAAGACAACTACTCAAATTCAATTTACGTGGATCCCATAAAAGGACGCCTTCATTGCAGATAAATCATAGTTTGATACCAAATAAGTATCTTACGAAGCTCAGGCTCGTCTCAGGATAACCTTAGCCGAAAAATGTAACTTAACTACGTATTTGGAACTCTGTCAATTTTCGCAAAAAATTTGCGATCGTATAGGTTGCGAGAACATTACTGCTTGGCGCCTGTAATTGAAGTGGATAAAATGTCTCCAGATATATTGTAATAAGCATTGTGCAAAGAAGAGAGCCCTAGATAATTTTTTAGAATAATCCTTTTGAGCGTCTAGTGTCGGACTAAGCCTACAACAGATTTTCAAATACTCATCTTTCCGAATTCAGAGATCAATAAAGTGCTAATTTTGTTGGCTATGCCCTTTCGATAATGACATCCTAGGTGGAAAAGCAATGGAATGTGTATTTTTTGAGAGAACAGACAAAGAATCATATTTCCTGATGCTAATTTGTCGTCAAACCTTTTGGCTCACACAACTCGTTAGAGCGGTGGGGGGGGGGGGGGGGGGGGGGGNGGGGGAAGAAATCCAAAAATTAATAGCATAAATAAAAATGGGCTTAATTACCTCATTACGAAACTTTCAATTTCAAGGTTGGCTAAAAAGGTCAAATGCGCAGTAAGAGAAACGTATTTACAATTTTATTCACATAAAGGGAGAGTCAAAGCAAGAGCTTATTCCCGTTGAATCCTTCAAAAAATCATTCAGCAATAAGTGTGCTCCCACTAAAGCTTTCGATGCCGAACCACTTTGGGCCCCCGATTTTAACAACAGTTTGTTATAGAGACAAACCTCCGTTACGGCACAACGATCGAATACTTCTCAAGAAGTACAAATTAAGGACCAAACGATGTCCTAGAGGCGTGTTAAGAATGGTAATCACTTAGCAAACTTTACTCTGGAATATCCCGTAGACAAGGTTCGACAAAGAAGACTTTGTCTTTGAACTACCTTATAAGATCGTCTCAACAACCTAACCCTAAAGCCTTCTTTAAGGCATCAGATTCAAGAGAGAATGAAAAAAGTGAACAAACAATTATGACGAAAGCAATGCGCGTATGACAAAGAGGTAGAGTTGTAGTAAGGAGCAAAGCTAGACTTTGGATAAAAATAGAGAACAAAGTGAAGACATCTAAACCCCCGTGTAATGCTTCTGCCCACTTTAAAATGCCAACAGCTATCTCTAATAACAAATTAAGACTTGCAGAGAATTTAAAGTAAAGTGAGGAACTTTATTTATTTCAAATGGCAGGCGTTATGATAGGTATCATTAGAACTTTAGTTGACTTCAGGCTTCACAGAAAGGAAGATGCACATCAAAGTGGCAAAACGTCGAGAGGGGGGCAGAATAATGATTCACAGACGTAAAAG